CAGAATAAGATTTTCTAACCTTACAAATTTGATACTCAATAGTTAGAAATTTTTAACTAATGAATTGTGACGGTTTTCACTTGTATGTCTGCATTTTTAATGCCATGTATTAAAATATATACACATTCTAAAGTCTTTTAGGTCAAGAATAGTCTTGTCCATATACTTACCGTTTTACACTCGATTCTCGTATCGAAAGGAAGAGAATTGTACTATTGGAATTATGGGAACATAGGACGCCATTTTTATCTTACACTAGAACGTTTTCTATTCCTTACTTACACGCTTACACTCGTCAGTTCTGGCTTGCTAGTTCGGTTCAGTTTAGTTCTAGTGCAGTCCCAGTGCAGGAACAGAAAACAAACCCCTTGTTTAACACTTTGGCTGCTTTTTTTAGGAGACACAAATCGACACAGTATAATACACTCGAACACAGTTTGCCACACTTAAATGGAACGCGATATGTGCAGTGTGTATCGCACAAACTTCTATATATACTACTAGACTGCTAACTCCCTTAGTACAAGCTTGTATAAAGTGGACCCCAAAACTTATAGTGGTCCTGCGCATGCGTCACGAACTACACCAAAGGAATATAATATGGCTGTCTCCCGCGATGATTGTGATACTACGAATAGCCGTATTGTAGCCGTAGGTAAATGTTAAGAAGACCCCTTCACCTCAACTTTTGATAAAAATTTACTCAATTGATGCGTTTTTGTATGAAACGAAAGAATCTGGCAGAAAAAAGTATCGCTCTGCCTCGTGAACCGAGATATTAAGCGTTAAAGTTGACAACTATATATAGGTTAGGAAATCTGTCACAGCCACGAAATTCATTACTTAAAAATAAATTCACTTTAACGCTTAATATCTCGGTTCGCGAGGCAGAGCGACACTTTTTTCTGCCAGATTCCTTCGTTTCATGCAAAAACGCATCGATTGTATATTTTTATTAAAAGTTGTGATGAAGGGAGTCTTCTTAACATTTACCTATTTTTACAATATATGTATCATAATTTAAAAACCATTTTCAATTACGATGCCGGCAAAGTGTGCCTTTCCAACATGTAACAATACACAAAATATTGACAAGCTGAGTTTTTTTCAGTAAGAATTATTAGTTAACTTTAAAGAAATGAGAAGTATATTTACATTATGAAATTATCTAAACTGATAAACTAATCTGAAATACTAAAAATAAAAACTGATAAACTAAAAAGATTACTTTTTAGATTTCCATTAAATGAACCTAAAGTTTGTGCACAATGGGTAGTAGTTGTGAACAGAAAAAAATGGATACCAACAATGTCCAGTAAAATTTGTGAAAAGCACTTCGACATCAGTGATTTCTATAATACAAAAAAGGAAAAGAGATTAAAGCCTGATGCAGTACCTAAGCATATTATAGCACCTGATAGAATAGAAGAAGCATTTGAACTAGAGGTTTGTTCGCGTCGCATGCTCCAACATACTCCTATTTCCTCCAACTGTAGCTCCTACTCACTCAAACGCGCTCGTTAGAGTGAGTAGGAGCTATGGTACGAACATGTTGAAGCATGTTGGAGTATGCGATGCGAACAAATCTTAGGTATATCTATAATATTGATATTACTTTCCATAATGGAAGTATAAGCTGGCACAAATTCTTTCACAATAAGTACTGGCAAATATTTCAACAATATATATGTATTATGTATACCGTACTGGAAAAATTGTTTTTTAATCATTTAATATATTTTTTATATAGATTTAAATGCGTGCAATATAGTACCTATTCCTACTAAACCTAACGACAGTGATATTATAGCACCTGATAGAATAGAAGAAACATTTAAACTAGGTATATCTATAATATTGATATTACTTTCTATAATAAAAACCTTTGAACAAATTAAAAATTAAAGGATAAAATACAATTTTTACAATTTTATAAAAATATGGACAAATATCAGTGAAAATAAGACTATGGAAACAAGTATTTATTCAATACTGTTAATTAGGTTAACCTGTCAAAATACGTATGCGCGTGCTAATGTATGCGCATGTGTCACACGGATCACGCGGTGCAGTTCTCGACGGAGTGGCACCCAGTTGGACACGGCTCAATTGGACACGAGCCACTCATAGCGCTTCAGACTACAAAGCTCCTAAGCACCGGTCACTGTGATTGGTGGTGTCCAATCGAGCTGTGATCAATCGGGATCACCCCTTCACGACGCATGCGTATAATGCATAATCGAAATTGGGATCCACTTTTTCAAACGAGTTAGCAGTCTAGTAGTATATATAGAAGTTTGTGGTGTATCATGTGTACGAACTTTTAAGGGGATGCTGGAGTCTTCTTTTTTACCGATAAAGCAAGCGTTTATGTTCCTTGCGCGGTTCTTCGAATTAGTTGCACGGAATAAAAATTCCTTCTCCACGATTGAAATA